CCAGCTGCATCGCCACACTCAGTCTGCTCTTTCAGAGGACAAAGGACACTGAGCCCAGTCCCAATTATTGCAGACGACCCCTTCCTATAATCCTGTTCAAAAACGTATCAAGCTCCACTTTTAAACTAGTCAGGTTGTTTGCCCCCACTACCCTATTGGGAGGCTACACCAGAGCCTCCCTCCTCTGATGGTTGGAAATCTTCTTCACACACACAGCAGGGCAGGAGTAGAGCTCAGATTCTCTTTTTCCAACAGACATTTCTCCTCCCTCCCCCCTTGCAGTAAAGGAGAGAATCTCCACTTAGCCCTTAGCAGTCTAGGGCTCATGACTTGCAGTTGGACAGTTCCGATCCCACCCAGTAGTGGGCTGATGCTGCGGGATCTGGGCCCCAGAAGCGAGAGGGGAGGGTCTGGTTACGGTTGGTGGTTTGATGCTCCGAGTTCTTTTCTGTGCCACGGTAAGTGGTGTCATTGTGAATCGTTGGCAAATCCAGCGGGTGAAAAGCGTGTGGGCGTCAAGGCTGCCCATGTTTGTGTGCCAGGGTGTCTCGGGAACTGCTCTGGACCTGGATCAGGGCTGTGAGAACGGGACTCTCAGCTTCACTTCAAAAGGAGCTGTGAGGAGGGAGCCCTGTAATGCAAACGGAGGGGCCCTCAATAATCATACAGACGCGCTCTGGCTGGCTGGTGCGCCACTGCCCTCTACAGAGTAGAATCAGAACTGCCTACCTGTGTTTCATAGGCTCTACACTGCTACAGCTGAGGGAGATTTTCTGGTTGCTCAGGTGGAGGGCTGTCTTTTGCAGGAGGGGGCTTTGGAGTTTGATCGGTGGGGTCACTGGTATGTTCTCAGTGGTTGGGGCACACAGTGTAATCACAGCCGTGCACTCAAGGCATGGCAATGAACTTCTACCACATCATACAGCGATGAAACCGTTCAACGCTCATCCGTTTTCTTAACCGGAAAAATAACAAAACAGCAGCCACTCTGCTAAGCCCGAGTGTGGGTCTGTTTCGATGCCCTGGGTGGCTCTCACCCATTTCCTAGCGGCCAGGCACAAAGACCCCCATCGCCGTTGGCCTCTTTGGTGGTATTATCGGCAGAGTAGCCAGTGTGTGATCATAACAGTTACCTCCTTTTACCATAGACCCCCAAAGCACTTTACAAAGGCCAGTCCCATTATCCCCATTTCACAGATGGGGGAAGTAAGCCACTGAGAGGGAAAGCACCTTGTCCAAGCTCAGCTAGCAGCAGAGTCAGGAATAGAAGCCAGATCTCCTGAGTCCCAATCTGCTGCCCTATCCACTAGGCCACACTACCAGTGGGTCAGTGAAACTGAGCTCCCCCCTTACAT